TGCGTGCGTGCGTGCGTGCGTGCGTGCGTGCGTGCGTGCGTGCGTGCGTGCGTGCGTGCGTGCGTGCGTGTGTGTGTGTGTGTGTGTGTGCGTGTGTGTGTGTGCGTGCGTGCGTGCGTGTGTGTGTGTGTGTGTGTGCGTGTGTGTAGTGTACCCAGTCTTTCGGGCGAGCTGGAGGCCGAGCTGCTGGGCTGCGACTGCAGAGGAGTGTTCGTCTCATCGACAGACGGAGAGAGAGAGGGACTGTCACACACTCTCTCCTGCAGAGAGGGGGAGAAAGAGAGGGGTGAGATATGGAGGGGTGAGATATGAAGAGGTTGAGGTGTGAAAGAGTGCATTGATGTGAAAGATCTGAAGCAAATCATTAGAGGTTTCTATGGGTTACCATGGATTTAAGAGACACTGCAATGTTGAAGATTTACTGTTGGGTAGTTTAACAAGCGGCAGTGTATCGTATTCTATAAGGTTTTTTTTTTACCTCATAGAAAGATTTTCAAAATGTTTGGACATTGACATCTTTTGCATAATTATACTTCATTATTTCCTTTTGTTCTGACCATTATTTAAACCTTTTTTTAGGGCAATTTCATATATTTTCAAATGTTTTATTTTTTATTTTATGTTTCTTTGGAAAATTCTCACTTTCATTCAGAAACTTTTCACATAATTATCCAAGTTTTTTTTACATATTTTCGGACCATTTAAAGAAAATCTAAATATTTTTCCGGAACATTTTCACATATTTTGGGGATTTTTTTCATATACTTTAGGCTATTTCTTTTAAACTTCTTATACATATTTATTCATATTTATTATTCACATAAATACATGTGGTTGTGTTAAAATTAACTGCCTTTTGCAATGACAATGAAGCTGAATTGAATCAAAAAGAATAACAAAAGCTATTTTTCGAGGTGTTCCACAGGGATCATATTTGGATCCTCTTTGGTTTTCATTAAAACATTTTTTTAAGAGTCTGTAAAAACGTGTGTCTCACCTTGATGACGGGCGCCCGGTGTACGTGAGTGTGTATCTGCTGCGCGGCGGCGGCCATGTTGGCGATGGTGTTGAGGTGGTTCATCTGGGACATCGCCATGGCAACAGATGCAGGGGGCAGGCCCATGGGAAGCAGCGGGTGAGGCATCATCATGAAGGGGAGGTCCAACCCTGAGAGAGGGAAATTAACTTTATATAAAGGGAAATACATTGAATTAAATAAGGGTAGAGAGAAAAACATTAACGTCACATTTTCATTATTTGATTCTGCATGATACAGTTTATTCATCTCACAAATGTAGGTGTTTTTTAGTCAAATTGTTTCCATTTTGTCCACATTTGATCGTTATTTGAATCGTCAGTTGAAAGTATGTTTGACATTTTCGCTTAAAATAAAAACGTGTAAAGAATGGGCTGGAAAACACAATGTCCCCTGTTATAACTCAATGTTTCACTTTGAAGATTAAAAAAGTGTTTTTTTTCCGTTTATATTCAAGTCTTTTGTGCAATTTTTAAAAATTAAACTAAACTTGCCTTTTTGATAACATTGTCTACATTTTGTCGTTGTTGGAAGACTGTGCAAACTGTCACTTTTAACACGTTTTATTCATTTCATTGATAATGTTATTCCATGTACCAAAGACTTCTTAAAAGGAAGTATTAATACTGAGTGGGTTTTTCTTGTTTAATTGATTTTGCTTCCAGTAAAAAGCCTCCTTGACCTTTTGCAAGCTTTAACTCTATTTAACAACATTTTCTTTTTACAGACTGTGAAACGCAGCCTGTGTGAGAGTCGGTCTGAACTCCTGTTGAACTTCACCCTGAGCCGAGAGAGGCAGAGGTGTCAGAGTCTGGATAATAAAAGGTGAAGAAGAGGAGGAGGAGGAGGAGGAGGAGGAGAAGAAGGAGGAGTTGAACATGTGGAGGTCAGAGGGTTAAAGGGTGACGAGGCGGAGCAGAGAGGTCAGCTTTTGTTTGGATTTCATTTCTCTTTCATTTCCTGTCTGTTTTTAAAAGACTTTAAATATTTTCTTTATATTTCTTTATCCTTCATTTCGTTCCTTACCTCTTTTTACTCCTATTTTTTTTATCCTTTTCCCAATTATCGTAATGCTTTAGTTTCTAGCTTGCCCTTTAGTTAAATAGTTCAAAAAGGGTGATGAGGCCTATTTTAATTTTAATGTTGTTTTTTCTCTTATGTACTTTTGACCTTTTAGTTGGTTATTCATTCAGTCGTTGCCTCTTTTAACTCCTATGTTCTACCTTTCTCCTCCTCACTTCCTCACACCTTTCTTCCAATCATCTCTTCCTTTGCTTTAAATAATATCCTCCCATCTTTTTCTGACACACACCAGCGTCACTGCATGTGTTCGATTAACTTAAATTCCCCCTCTAACCCTGAACCTCCTGAAAGCATAACCTTGACTTTTGACCACTGACCTCAGACCCCCTGACCCTGACCCTGAAACACACACACACACACACACACACACACACACACACACACACACACACACACACACACACACACACACACACACACACACACACACACACACACACACACTTTAAAAGGACGACCTCCAATAAGACGTTCACTCTGACTGAAGTCGCCTCAGCTGTCGGAAACATGTGCCAAAAAAAATAAAAATAAACGACAGCGGCTGCTTTCATTCCAATGAAACAATAACACTGATTGCTGTTGTCGTGACGACTGAAGTGATAGAATAATCAATGTGAGTGTTTGTCACCTCCCAGCGTGTGTGTGTGTGTGTCTGTGTGAGTTTGTGTGTGTGTGTGTGTGTGTTTGTGAGTGCAAACACATCACTGCTGCAATAAGAAAATGAGCGAGAGTGAGTGTGTTTCTATTTATCTCTGCACGTCTTTCAAT